ATTTAGTACATTCAGTTATGTTTCTCATAAGTCGAAACTTTTATCATGTTATTCGATGAGGGGTAGGGCTATGGCGCCCAGGCACCCTGGTGGTTAAGCACCGCAGTTCAACGTTTCTCTGCTCTACTGAGTTTCAAATATAAACAAATGGTGGCCTCGTTAGGCTTAGCACCACTTAAACTTTTAAACTGTTGACAGTTCTACAATTATCGCATGCAGATTAACTAAAAGCATAAAAATCACATTAAGCTTTAAAACAAATGCATTATTTTTTGCTTTAATCTTATAATATGTACATTCAGGCCTTGAAGGAATATCATTTAAAACAGCCCACACATCAAGCTTTTGATTAATCTTCAAAGATAATTAAATGTATATTTAGTCAACAGATGCTAGTGCTTTATAATTTACTTTTCAATTTTTTTTTTTTTTTTTTTTAATTTTATTTTTGGATCCATGGGATTTGAGTCGTGGAACACCCCCCCCCTCCCCCGGGTTTCGCAGAACACAGTTTGAAGACCACTGCATTACACTTTAACTTGCCACAAGATGTCACTAGATACGAGATTCGGTAGTCTTATACAAAGAGTTTTACACCATGCCTACTAATTCTGTTCATTAATAAACTTACACAATACAATATATTTCAAAATAGTCCAAAATATGTATAGCTTCACTATTTCCTCCTTCTGGTTACACCCACTTTTTTTGTGAATATTTTTTAGCTTTTGTGGGTGGAATATTCCTTGGAAAATGTTCCCATTGCTTTCCTTATAAATGATGCATTTTATTACCAGTAGGCATCCTTCCATTTTTTTTATAGTCAGGTATAAATTCACTTTGTAAAATATGTTCTGCTACACTGAGTTCTTTGCAGAATAGGGTATCCTTTGGCAAATTCAAAAAGGAGTGATAGATCAATAAAATTTCAAATGCAAGAATTAAAAATGAAACAAATATAAATTAAAACTTACATTTAGTTTATTGCCTAATCTGCCATTCATATCTCTAAATTTTAATGCACTTTGATACAGATATAGGTTCTCCATCTTGTTTCTATAACTCCTGCACCGATGAAATAAAAATCAAATAGAAAGTTGCCATTAAAATGCATTATGCTCCACAAATTTCTTGTCATTCTTCTAAGCCTTTGTTCTTTGAAAAAATTAATTCAGAAATAATTTATTCATTGTCACTATTAAAGGTTTCTTCTCATAATTTAACTTCGTAAATGACTATAAGAAACTCAGATTCAATTAACTACTCATATTGCACTTCTAGTTGTAAGTAAGTGCAAGTGAATGTAAGAAAAAAATGGGTGAATTTTCACTTTATGAAAGACCGTATCTACTATAATAGTACTTTTTTTTTAATTAAGCAACAAAGCTGCAAAAGATTTTCACTTTTATGTGCAAAGCCAATTTATCAAATGCCTGCAGAATCCGAGACCTTATTCAAATATTTATTCAAAAATTATTCTACATTTTTTATTTCATTCAATGGCAAAAGATATACAAAATTTTTAACTCACAAGGATGCAGGTTTGTTATATAAGTCCTTTAAAGACCCATAACTGAAGGTATAACTGTAATAATATTTAAGTTATGAATTGATATGAAAAATTTTAAGTTTCAAGAAAATTTTTTGGAGATATCTTATTAATTTTATTATTAACTGTTTGGCTGCCCACAAGCTATATTTTTAATGACAGGGTTAATAATTATCTCTTCAGCTTTAAATCTCTATTGAAAAATAGCTGTAACAAAAAAATAAGTTTCACTTGGAGGAATATAAGTTCATAAATTACAAAATGGACTTATTAAACCTAAGAGAAAATGCTGATACAATTAATGATTCAGCCAAATAAAGCACCCTTTTCCTTAAGAAGTATTATGAAGTAAAAGTTTTCCTTTTTTTTTTTTTTTTTATATTCTTGTTCAATTTTTTATATTTACATTTAATATCTCTTATTATTTTTGTTGTTTTCTCACATCTTATACTGAATGTGCTGTTGTATAATATTATCTAAAATAAAATAATTGACTAATACAGGGTAGACATAAAACAGTTTTCCAGATACATGAACTCCTAACAGCCTATCCACTCAACCAACCGAAATTAAATTTCAGATATTGTTATTCGTGTGATGATCTAATTGTCGACAACAGTGAGGAATCTGTAATGTATGTTTTATGGCATCTTTCAATTCTGATAAATCTCATGGATTTAATGTGTACACCTTAGATTTCAGATAATCCCAGAACTATAAATCTATAAGAGTGAGGTCGGGGGATCCACATGGCTAGGAAACTGCAACGTTTTGGGAGATGACTATCTTGAAATGCTGTACACATTGAAAACTTGTAATTCTAATAAAAGTTTTTCTCCCTCTTCTCTTTCATACTGTCATTGATGCTTTATTATTGATTAATTTATTATGCTCTTCTTTGCAAATGTTTTGCACCAACAATTTTTGTCATAATGCAGGATTTACGTATAAGCTAAACAAGCTATTGCTTAGGACCCCCACTTTCTTGGTGTCCCCCAAAAATTAAAATATAGTGCAACAGACTTATAAAGGGCCCCATATCTCAAATAGCTTTGGGCCTTATTAAATCTAAATCTGGCTCTGCATACATGTATCATTCTAATACCATTTATGTTTTTTTTTTTTTTTTTTTTTTTTTTTTTCAATGCACTGTTTAATTTGCACAGAAGAAAAGTGGTTGTTGATGTTCAAAAATTTTGAAGTAACCATAACCAAGAGAACTCTGACTGGTTAAGTGGATAGGCTGTTAGGGGTTCATATATCAGGGAAAGTTTTTTCATGAACACCCTGTATATGGATTAATAAACAAGTTTTTAAAACTTCAATTAAATAATATATATTGCATTTCATGTCACTGGAAAATCATTTATATTTAGTATAATTTGAACGAAACAGATTTATGTAGTTGATATATTTAACATGCATTTCTCAATCATTCCCCCCCCCTTAGCTCTTTCTTATGCAATAATCATATTATTTTGAGATCACATTTTCTTTACCTCATATGATAAATAATTTTACGTATATTTTTACTATATTTATGCTTCAATTTTTTATATTTGAAGAATGCAATAAAATAAAATCTATATTCAATTAACTATTTTTTATAAATACAGCTTTTTAATTATTAGCATCTTGAAATCTGGATTGCCCTTGAATTAATTTCTTCTACCAATTTGATCAATTAGATTATTTCTGCATTTATATATAATCCAGTCTACAGGCAACTGCTATGTTATTCTCAAAAGCGGCAATTAAATAAAGGCATATTCTGCATTGAATCATTAATATGTTTAAATTTGTACAGAATTTTAATGCTACTGATTGCACAAGGCACAAAAAATATTGCAGTTGTGGCAGTATATAATTCAGTGGCAATTAATTATAATTTCAGACCTCTTTCAAACATTTTGTATTAAATTACACTCGTGATTTAAATTAATTTTGCATAATTTTTCTGCAATTTAAAACTTCCAAATTCCATCATCCTTACAATTAATTATAAAAGTGGTATTTCACACAAGTATATAGGAATGCAACATTATTAATTAAAACCTCTAAAGAATGCCAAAGTGATTGTTTTTAGATTGGTTTTATAAAGACACATATTTTAATTTTTTTCTCAAATACCATTTTATAAAATGCTGTAATCCTAAACTTTTATACTGTTTTGTTCCATAACTTCTCTTAATTAACTTTCTGCATTCTTCTAGCATTATTTCTGAATAATTCTTCAATGATATTTTTAATCACAAAAAGTGAAGTCCATGTTTCAAAATAACTATTCAAATAGATTCTTCACACATTAAAAACATACAACCAAATTCTAAGATTCCACAGAAATAGGGAAAAATTAGTACTATTCGGTTTTGAGGGCCGTAAAAAATTGCCAAACTATTGTTGATGCCAGTGCTGCCAAAAATAATTGTGGCAACCCTAACGCAAGAGAGGAAGTATAATAGTAAATAACTATCTAAGATTGATGTTTTAATTTAGATGAAAGGTTAATTTCATATAATACTTTTTTATTATTATAATTTATATAAAAAAGGCTAAACATGACTGAATGGAAGCATAAGAGTAAATAACTATTTCAGATCATTATTATAATTTATATAAAAATTGCTAAACATAATAACTGAATGGATGCCTGCATCGCTATTTCGTTACCGAGATATTGCTAAAGCATAATTTCATCTCGTTGGTTGTTCAAACATAATTTTCTATAATGAATGATGCTTTTTCTTTGAAAAAATTCTCAGAATCGCCCACTTATTTGTTTGTTGCTTTTTACAAGGGTAAAACAATTGGATTTTTGTCAATTTCCTTTTACTTTTTAAGTGAAAATAGGTCCATGTGTACATAGATAAAGTCAAAGGTGTGTGCAGTGTCATTTTTGTGCAATTCTAGGATTTTTTTTAAAGTGAAAATAGGTTAATGTGTACATGGATACCGAGTATGTGCAATTCACGAAGTATATATACTCCATGGTGCAATTCTTAAAAACGCATCAAGCAGTGGGTGATTCTGCACTTTATCCAAAATTCTATAGCAGACTTTTCATCATGGCCAATTCCCAGATTGTTAAATCCATAGGATATCAAAAAAGGATTTAAAAATTAAACTAGTATTTCAATGGCATCTTAAGAAATATAGAACTATATAAACTTACGCAATCTGAAATCAGCGCGTACGCTAGATTTGGCACGCTGTTAAATGGGTGTGTTTGCTAGATTTGGCGTGCTGTTAAATGGTCGTGTTTGCTAGATTTGGCGCTTTTGTGCATACATTTTTGCTGCAAATTTTTTACGCTCCTCAGAACGGAATAGTACCGAAAAATCTTTTTAGTGTAAAGGGTTGTTAATAGGATCTATATCTCTCTCTATATAACCTGATTTTATCTGCACACTAAAAATAAATAAGCATATACAAAGATATCCAACAAACATACCTCAAAATGCATAAAGAGAACTTCAGCTAATGTATTCCTAAATAATGTAGGACACAAAACAGATTCCACTATGACAGCTCTTCGATCCTTGGGATTGACAGCCAGATATCTAAAAAATCAAATATCAAAACACTTATTTAACCAAAAGGTGCAATCTTCCAGCTAAAAAATTGTTTAAAAGAATTTACAAACTAGTAAATTACTGAAAATTATAATTATTTTACTTGAAATAAAGTTTATGAACAAATTCTTTCAAGATGATGAACAAATCATCCTTTCCTTGGTAATTCCATACTCTTGTGATCTGTAAAAATATAAAAATAACAATTAGATACTATTTCACATGTCCTAATAGTTCAGGCATAAATTTTTTTTTTTAATCAAGTACTGAATAATGCAGTTCTCAACAACATATATGACTGCTGTATGATACCAACCTTTTGTACTCAAGACTGAAGTTTTGTTTCTATTTTTATAGCATTAATCATATAATGTCTCATTACTTACACATTATGAATTGCAATCAAAGATATGAAGAAAAGTACAGAAATTGCTTCAGAAATATCTAAGAGAGGAGAGGAAAATTAAGATTCATTAGCAATATACTTCAACATTTCTACATGAAAATAAAAGACCTGTAAAATTATTGAAACTATTTGGAAAATTAGTATATATATATATATATATATATAAATCAGCAGCTGATCAAGTAATAAATAAATGAATGAAAAGATATATGATTTTGCAACATTCTACTTAAAATAAATAAATAAAAGAAATTATTATATTTTCTTCATTTAATTCTCTATAACAAAAATTTTAAAATTAAATACTTTATTTGGAATTCATATAAAAATGCAGTCTTATATAGATAAATGATAACTATTTTTTGCTGCAACCTCAGTGAGAAACAAATAGTTACCAATCTGCATACATATGAGAAATAAAATTTACGGTTACTGATCTGCACAAGTGCGTTTCTTCTACAGTCACTTTTAAAATATAACTATTTTTTATGCATGCTCATAATTCATATTTCTTCTGCAAATGAAAATTTTTGCTATTAAAATATAATGTTTTTTAATTGCAACTATTTATTTTGCTTACTGTTTTTAATATACCGTCAACTGAAAAAGGTGCTTTCGATTTTTTTCAAAGAAAAGTGTAATTTAAGTGGTAAGAAAATTTGTGAAAATGTGGATAATATGCAATTATAAGCTGGAAAAGAAACCAACTGGCAATGCAATGTTCAGGCATCAATTGGCTGTGGCAATGTGTTCGAGGTATTATTAGCCACAACTGCTCAGCTACAGCCAACAAAGACAGCTTGTAAAAAATAAATTTTCTGATATGTTAATGCACATTATTTTTTTACCAAATTGCTAAAAAATTGCATTAAACCAAAAAAATAAAGAATTTTACTATTTATTTAATTAAATACTATAATAAATTACAAAATTATTAAATACTATAACAAATACAAATTTATATTAAATTCCTTCTGTAGGTATAAATTAAATAACCTTATGTTATAGATATTTAATGAATTACTGTTTACAGTAATCAATTTTGTTCTCATGCATGCTTAAACATTCGGCAACAATTTGCACTTTCTTGTGCCCAAATTGCAGCAATCAAAAAATCGTTTAGGATTTATTAAAGCATCAGATAATTATTTCAGTGTTTTGCCAATGATACACATTTTGCCCCAGCTGTTTAAAAGTGTTATAAAGTAGGTTTATATACTATGGAACTTAACCATTAGCAAGTAAGCTGGTTTTTCTTGATACAGCAGTTCTGCAGATTTGTTGTTTTCCCATTATGGCAACATTGGGAATATGATCACATTATGGCACTGATGAGCAATCCGAGAGCTACGCACAACTCACTGCTGATAAATAATTTTACAAATACACGTGGCAGGATAATAGTGACGAGAAAGAAGGTAGAAGTATCTTCCTAATCACATGCTTTGCTCAAATTGGTCAGTTGAGAGTTGAGGTCAGTTGAGAAAGCATAATGAAACTAAAATGGAAGCCACAGGACAAGCTTCCATTTTAGTTTCATTATGCTTTCATTCAGTCATTTCTGTGTGAGCTTTGTGTTTTATCATAGGTTTAAAATAACTAGATAAATAAATAAAACAGAATTATGGATAAAAATTTTCATTTTAACAACAAATTGATATACATATATCTATATATTTCTTGTGTTAAAAGACAAAGCAATTTTCTTGCATGTACAGAGAAAATATACATTCTTACAGAATATTATAACCTACACATCTGCTAGATTTTGAGAATAACTGAGTCACGACTTCCATGCAATAATTTTCAAATGCAGTACAAAGTTCGTAATCTGGACTCGTCGGGACTTCGGCGATTCCAGATTAGGGGTTTTTCTGGATTATAGATCATCAATTTAAATCTGATAAGATGACATGCAGAAATTATACAATTAAAAATATGAAACTGTAATTTATGAAATAAAGAACAATTATGATCTAAAGAGTATCAAAATTTACAAAAAAAAAAAAAAAAAAGAAAAAAAGAAAAAGCTTAATATTTATTTGTTTACTTTATTAAACATTTCTTTCAATGTAAGTTGTTTAAGTTGCTTCGTTTTTGTGCTAATACTTTCTCTTTAATTCTATAAACAGACATAATTTCTTGTTCAGTTACAAAGTTCCACTGTTCAAGAACTGTAATTGCTGTGTCGAGAATACCGACTAACTTGTCAATCGAAATTTTTTCATTTTCAATAACCTCTCTGTCACTTTCTTCATTATCGGAAGTGGTATTTTCTGGATCTAGAATCATACTACAGATTTCGCCGTCCATTAATTGATTGATGATTGGGGCATTGTCGTCGCAATGGAAAACTTCTGTTAATAATCTTCATTTGTTACCGCTTCCCCACATAACTTTACAAAATCCAATAACTGGAAAATTTCACCTTTGGTTTGCGATGTCCGAAAACCTTTAAATTCATGGTTATCATCTTCATCGTCCTCACCATGAAATATGGTAGCTGGCCATAAATTATGCCAAGGATTTTTTAACATATCTGGAAACCCATTTTCCCAATGCACATGCGCATGCATAAGCGTGCATTAACATGCATGCGTAAACCCATTACGCACATGCGTAAAGCATACAAAAAAAGTTCGTGGCTTTGAGGTCCAGATTATAGATCATTCCTGATAATGGACCTCTGGATTACGGACTTTGTACTGTATTCATATCCCTGAATACACCCACTTTCTTTGAGCATAATGCAAAACACTGAAGAGCAATAGGAATTGGAAATATATAAAAACAGCAAAAAATCAGACTACATTTTTGGCATTTAGTAACACTACACTAAAACTCAAACCTATTTTAACTATGAAAGTGTTCTGATTAGTTCAGCAATTCTGGAATCAACATCAGCAGTTCTGTCTACTTAGCCAGACACATAAGGCCTGTCGGAAAATTCTGTTTGTTTGGGAAGAGAAAGAAAAGAATATATCGGGTGGGCATAATTAAACTGACATTGCTCACAGTGTTCTGTAGTGCGATCTATTTGCGAGAATTATGCCACATTTTGTAGGAATATTAAACAAGATGGGGAACGAAGGATTCCGCGAAAAAACTAATTAGTTCCAAAAGTCACCGCTACGGGAATATTTGGCGGTGTGTAATAGAAAATAGAGTGTTCACATACGCAAATTAATACGGAATAAAATTACCATTTATTATGCACATTTTCTGATTTAGTTCAAGTGCAATATGGCAACACTTTTAAAAAAGCGTAAAATCTACATAAACACCGATAAAGTCTCGTGATCTGCAATATCATGTACGCTGAGCAGAAGAAGAAGTTCTTTATTCAAATTTCATGTTACATCCATTCGCACAGTGCCAGCTGCTTGGGTTTTAAAAGGCAATGTGTTACGTTTCGAATCAATCGGATTGAAAGTTTATGTGTTATGTCTCCTTCTTTAGTCGAGCGTGCGTTACTGGTCAAATTCTTTTACCTCAACCAGCGCAACGCGTCAGCCGCTCTTCGTGCTTTTAAAACGCACAAAAAAATGCGTAAAGGTAACGGTCCTGTGTCAGTTAATGGGCTAAAAGCAATGGTTGCGACATTTGAGAAAACAGGTTCTCTGAAGGTTCAGTCAGGCAGAGGACGAAAACCTGTACCACAGGATACAATCGAAGCAGTTGCCACGGCGATTGTCGACAGAGGACCAGACAATATTGCTGTCACCTCTAGTGCTCGTGGAGTAGCTCGGAATATGGATATGCCTTACAGTACGGTATGGAAAATCTTACGAAAGATTATCAACTTCTATCCGTACAAGATCAGCCGTGTACAGGAGTTACTGTACCCCGACAATGATAAGCGATTGACTTTTACTCTCACCTTTCTTGCCAGAATGGAGGTGGATGATGCTTGGCTGTGGAAAATCTTATGGGGAGACGAGGCCCACTTTTACCTAAATGGAACTGTGAATACCCAGAACTGCCGAATTTGGGATGAGAAATCACCACATGCAGTCACAGCAATTCCCTTACATTCACCAAAGGTAAGTGTTTGGTGTGGGTTCACAGCGAAATTTATCGTAGGTCCATTCTTCTATGAGAACATTACTCCGACAGGACCGGAAACCTGTTCTGTTACCGGAGGGAAATATTGCCACATGTTGAACAGCTTTGTCATTCCTGCACTTTAGCAAAGACAATGCCTGGGGAAAATCCTTTTCATGCAAGATGGAGCTCCTCCATACGTTGCTGTACGGGTGCAACATATGCTATGACAGAAATTCACTACAGAAAGAGTCATTAGCTGCTACTTTCCAACTGCATGGCCACCTCGGTCGCCTGATCTTACCCCATACGACTTCTGGATATGGGGTTACCTTAAGTCCAAGGTTTATCAAGGAGTGGTCCAGGACCTGGCTACGTTGAAGGATAACATATCACGTACTGTACAGGAGATTCCTGCAGACATGTTACTTTCTGCTGTTGTGCCTACTGTTCACAGAATGCAATATGTGGTCCACAACAACGGCAGCCACATTTAACCTCATTTGAATGCAAAATAAAAAGTAATTTCCATATTGATTTGCATTTGTTAACACTCTATTTTCTATTACACAGTGCCAAATATTCCCCTAGCGGTGACTTTGGGAACTAATTTGTTTTTTCGCAGAATTATTCATCCCTCGTCTTGTTTAATCTTCCTACAAAATGTGGCATCATTCTCGCAAATAGATCACGCTACAGAACACTGTGAGCACTGTCAGTTTAATTATGGCCACTCGGTATTTTTCATACTTTTAATAATATTTTCTGTACAATATAATTTGTACCCTTACTTATGACCTCTTGCCTGTGTAAAAGTAATTGGAAGATAGCATTTTTGGAAATATTCATCATCCTCAGAAGCGAAGCTATCAAGCAGTGCTTTGCTAATATCTGCTTCAGTTCCAAATTTTTTCCTTTTAAAACATTTTGCAAAAAAAGTACAATGATAGTTAGAGGGTGCTAGGGTCTGGGGAGTATAGTGGATGCAGCAGAATTTCCTGGCCTAGCTCTGCAATTTTCTGGCGAGCCACTAAAGCAGAATATGGTCTGGCATTATTGTGATGCTATATGATGTGCTTCAAGCCAGCCTCTTTTCTTCGGCTACTTTATTTAAATAGTCCATTTCCTGACAGTTATCTCCAAATTAAGCTTCTCTTTAGGTTTCAAAAGTTTGTAATGTATTAGTCTTTAGACATCCCACCATATACACAGCATTCTGTTATTCAAGCTCAAACTCAGTTTAGAGGTCAAGGGGCAGGATATCTGGGCTCATAGTATGCTTTTCCTTTTTTCAATTTTTGCAGGTGATCCACTTTTCCTCCCCAGCTATCACTCAGTCCAAAAAGGGTTTGTTTTTGTTCCAAGTGAACAGATATGTGCATATGATAACTTGATCATGCAAACTTTCTTCACTTTTAAAAAGGGCACCAATCAAAATATTTATAGACAAATCAAAGTTTCTGAATATGGTCTGAAATAGTTTGTTGAGCTGCATTATGATTTTCTGCAGTCTCCAGAGGTGCCAAAAAAGATGTTACTCTATCACAGTCTTGGAAGTATTAGCATGGATCAAAGATGGCCATATAGAGTGTGATTTTATGATTAAGATAAAAGATTGTGATTTTAAGATGGATAGCGTGATTTTATCATAAAGATAAAAATGACGTGTTTCACATTTTTTGAATCATCTCCTGCACACCCAAAACTACCACTAAATTTTGACATGCTTCTGTAACATTTCCTCCTTGTTGGAATTTGTAAAAAATATAGTGTTGTAAATGCACTTTACCAGTAGCTATATTTACATGATTGCATCTCACTTAATAATGATTAAGTTTGACTGACACTTTTGTTTCAATTAATTTAGAAGCGCAGATGTTAATAAATGCACTGATAAAAGAAAGATAGCCAGAGATGTCTTAAACGAACACCTGCATGTGTGTTGGAACTTGAAATAACATTATCACACAGATTTCTCGTGCCCACCAAAATCGTGGAACTTGTACTATAAGCAACAAGTTTCACTGCATCAAAGACAATTAGTCTTAAATTTTTTATATTCTTCAAGCACCAACTTTTTTTTTTTTGAGAAGAATGCACAGATAATATGTAGACACAGAATTAAGACTTCAGCATAATTTAATATGGTAATATCTATGAGAGAAATGCTAGATTTCATCAAGAAACACCAAATGTGTTTTACACTAATATTAATCATATTAAATTAAAGCATAAAAATTACAGTTTGGTACAACGAACATCAGAGAAAAACAAACTGAAATGATAAAACATACTAAAATTTTTAAAACTATCAGTATCATCTGAAAAGTTAAATTTTTAATGAACAATATTTAAAATAAAATGCATGTGATAAAAAATCAACAGCATTATATTACCTTCCTAGTAAGAGGGTGCACAACTTCTGTTGGAATAATAAATCTCGGTCCAGTTTCTCTGGCAAATCCAATTCTTAAATTGAATAAAAGTAAAAAAGCATTAAAAATAAAACGTAAATTAAAAAATACAAAATCAATAAACAAGTTAAAAAATGGCAAATACAAGGATTAAGTGCAAAACACATACAGTAAAACTTCCCTATCGATCCAAACATTTTTTATCTTCAGTAGATGTAGCCTTTTTTTTTCAAACGAATGCAACAAAATCAATTAAGAATGTTAAATTAATTAAATAATGCAATAAATTATTCTTCAGTGGAGGTAGTCTTCTTTTTGTTGCATTCTTTTATTAATAATTTACCTCAACTACATGAATAATATATAAGTAAGAAAACTATAAAATAGAAGAAAGATTTAACATAATTACATAAAAAGAAATTATGTAAGGTGACCAGATTTTAACATTAGTAAAGCAGGACACCATTGACCGGGAGGGTGATTAAACATTTGCTCTGTACAGAGCAACACAAATTTTCATAGAATGAAAAATAGTATTGTAATATATTTTTTATATTTCAACACAAGTACAATTTACAAATACATTAAAAGAAATTATGTATAGTATTATTTTATTCTTTGGCATATTTCTCATTTGAGTGAATTTTGTTTAGTAGATTGCTGTCGTTGTTTGAAAGGTCATAAACTTTTTCACAAGAATTTGTTAAATTATATTTCCCACATAAAATGGCTTTCAAAGTCTCAACACTTAATTGTGATTGTTCTGATGTCCGCACTTTATTTACCATAGGAAAAAAGTGCTCGGTCACAGCATTAGTTCTGGGGTATTCCACAGTTTTTCAGTGCATTATTGTATGGAATATGGTTTGTTTTAAAATGATGAAATACTTCTAACCACTTGTTTTCTTATGATTTTCGCTGATGTCCATGATTTAACCTTTTCCTTATCAATATATTTTTTAATAATGATGTCTAATTAAAAAATCATTTTCAGAAATATTACTATATGGGAAATTTTGAGTAATACGATTGAATGATTTTTGCATATTCCAATTAAGTTTTTGTTTTAATATATTCCCTACATTGTCATGCATCCTTCCTAAACATCGGGACTTTTTTAAAAAGACACGGGACAAACTTAAAAATCGGGACTGTCTCACCAAAAGTCACCTTAAATTATGCAAATCAAGAACAATTAAACTGAACTACACAGTTTTTCTTTTTTGTTTTTAGTAAAATAAAGCTTAAATAAATGAGAAAACATATTTTTAAGTACAGTTTAGAAATTTAGTATATTAGAAATTCTTACTTGCTGATAATAAATACAAATAAGAAATATACATAGAAATAATCAGTTAAAATTTCAAGAACTTGCCTCAAAGATTTGGTTTAATTTCTAGATTACTATACATGGTTGATACAGTTTTTACTCATTTAAAAAGAAAAGTAGGTACTTCCTTATTAAAGCAGCCACTATGCTCAGCTCCTGAAATTGACAAATTTAATTGCATAATCTACAATATACAAATTTTAATGTCACCCTTGATTCATGCACTAGTTGATTTCATAAGAACATACAAAAAACTATTGATGTTTGAGAAAAAGCAAATTACTTTTACTTGAGATTCATCACTGGATAAAATTTAAGAACCATTCACTGAAAATAAATGCCATTACTGCAGACTTAGTGAAATTAATGGCTATAAAAGCACAAGAGTTTTTTCATCATTCTAAAAATTAAGTTATAAATACAAATGAAAATGTTTGGAATTCTATTTGACAATTTTAAAAGAAGTTTCTCTTAATTTTTTCACTATTGGTTAATATCTTACATTACAATTAGTGTAAACTTCTGTAAAATAATTTCTAAAAATTGTTGCATTTACATTCAGTTTTAAAAAGTGCTATATTTAAATTCAGTAACTTAAACCTCTGCATATAGCTTGATTTTTATACTTCCTGATTCTGAAATACGAGATTTTTTAAAATAATTTCTATGTCTACATTTAATATCATTCATATCTTTAGCAACGGTTTTTGAATAATACAAGAATTTTAATTGCTTTTTGCAAATTCAAATTGTATGTAATAAGGTGCACACAATTTTGGTGGGCATAATTTGTAAATTAAAAAATGCTCGGTATTTTTAATTTTAGATGAATTTAATTTGCTGTAAAAATTTTTATGGAAATTTTGCAATAAAACAGAACATATAAAATTTGAAAGAAAGAAAAATCAGTCTTGCTTTATACTCAATTACAAAACATACAAAAAAAAAAAAAAAAAAAAAAAAAAATTACAAATGACAAAATGTTTTTGTTATTAATAAATGTTACAAATTGTTTATATTAATCACAGAAATAAAAGCGGCACTGTTATTTTTACTTATTACTATTATGCAAAGTTTTTTTCCATGTGATAAACTTTGAAGCATGATAAATTTTGAAACATGTATAAATTCCCAATGATAAATTTTGAAACATATTGCAACTTGGCACACACGCAAGTCTCTTTATACAAGTCTCCACACCACACGCAAGTCTCTTTACACATTTTCTTCATATTTTTTTTTTTTTCTTCTTTCTAAGAGCAACACATATCACACTGCCTCTTATATTCCATTTTTATAGGATCTGGTAGTATATAGTTGGAGAAATGCCTTTTTACAAGGTGAATACAACCCATGCTAGCATGAGTGGAATGTTTTGATGAATGAAATCAAAGCTGTTGTGCAAATTCTCTACAATGACATGGACTCTGTAAAGCCAGCTATCATCAAAATAATTAAGACAATCGTACTCTGCCCAGAGAAAGAATGGGATTCATATTCAAATTAAGATAAAAAAATGTTTCCCTGCAATTTTCATGAGAGCCATAGTAGCAGACCAACTTGATAATCCTGCTCAAATCATAGAACTGTATGCAGAGGGTTCAAGTTCTCAGCAGAACAAAACTGAAAATAGTATTCAATAATTGCAGAGAATTTGTTACAAAATTTACAGATCTTATTTTAATTTATTTAGTCATAGCAACAAAATCCAAATGTTTATTTGCATTTAAAATCACTGAAAGAAAAAAGAAGAAAGTGAAATATCCCTGCCAGAACAACTGTGTAAAATATTTTTTGTGATTTCATAAATCCAGCCATTTAAAAGCAGTGATGACTGCTTAATAATTATATCCTGAAAAAATATTCATTGTGTAGTGTAAAATATAAGCATAAATATCTACTCTTTCTGTATAAAGTACTTGAAACCATCACGACTAAAGTGACCACATTTTCATTGAGATAAAGCGGGGGAAATTGAATGAAATGAGAATAATAATTTAGTTATTAAAGCAGACCAATAATTCAAAAAAATATTTTTTATTATATACCTTCATATACTTGTCTATAAATTAAAAAAATATATTTATTATTAACAATTGGTAACTATTAAAATAATTGTAAAAACAATAATTTGAATATTATGTTTTTTAATTTTTTTTTAAAAAAGTTATGATTTTCTTTTATGGTTATATTTTTTATCTGAGTGAATACTTTGCAATAGATTCAGATCATTTATTAAAATGTGAAATTTCTCACATGAATTGATCAAATTATAGTTTAGGCTTGATACAGATTTTTAATGTTCAACTGCGTTTTTTTCAATTGTCCATATTTTACTGATACTATAAAAAAGACATTCTGTTGCTGCATTTGTTCCTGGAAGGGAGAGCGTGTGTTCTACAATTTTCAAAATATATTCATAAGGAACATTATTCTGTTTAAAATGAAGGAATAACTCTCCATTTTTTGTCTGTTTCCACACATGCAGACAACGAACATTTAATTTTTTCATCAGTAATGCATCTTTTTACCAATAACACCTCATCAAAAAGATCATTTTCACAAATATTATTTTTCGGAAAATAGTTACTACAGTCAAAAGTCGTTAATTCGGACACCCATAATCCGGAATGATCTATAATCCGGACCTCAAAGCTACAAACCTTCTGCGCATGCGCCGCGTTGACGCACATGCGCATAGGCGTTTACGTGCGTGCGTAAGACCTTTACGGCTGCGAATATGCTTGTGCGCATGCTCATACAACACATGCGTGTTAAATGTATAACGGACGGTGTAAGCTAAGCTAAAATTATTGAATTCAGTTAATGTTCAAGATTCAATGTTCAAGTTCATTATTCCTAAATCTTCGAATTGGATCCGGATTATTATTTTTCCAGACTGTTAGAGCAATTTTATAAAAGTAAGCTTGAACTTTTGATTATATCAAATAGAATTTCCGATATATATATATTTGTTTATATGTAAAGCATCTAAAGCGAAAGTATGTTTCGAAATCCGAAATCTGTTTATCAATTTCACGCTGCTCGGCGGGGGGAACACTGCTGCGCGCAATTAATTGGAAGTTAATCTGTCAGCACTATCCTTATCTTCAGGGCAGATGTTTTTATTTTATTTGGCTTATAATTCCTTACTAAGTGTAGTATTTCATCTCGATGTACTCCGTCTTTGGTATGATTTAAAACAAGTTCCTTGTCACTATAATTCACTTCCGATAGTGAAGAAAGTGACAGAGGTTATTGAAAACGAAAAATTTTGATTGACAAATTAGTCTGTATTCTCAACACAGCAATTATAGGACTTGAACAGCGGAACTTTGTAACTAAACAAGAAATTATGTCTGTTTAATAGAATTAAAGAGAAAGTATTATCACATGAAACGAAGCAACTTCAACTTACATTGAAAGAAATGTTTAATAAAGTAAACAAATAAATATTGAAGCTTTTTCTTTTTGTAAATTTTGATACCCTTTAGGTCATAATTGTTCTTTATTTCATAAATTACAGTTTCATATTTTTAATTTTGTAATTTCTGCATGCCATCTTACCAGATTTAAACCGATGATCTAAAATCCGGAAAAATCGATAATCCGGAATCGCCGAAGTCCCGACGAGTCCGGATTAACGACTTTTGACTGTACTATATTAAAAAGATTTTTCCACATATTCCCATAAAATCTCCTTTTTTAATATCCCCCAATGGAAG